CTCTGAAAAGGTCCCTGACAGCTGATTTACCTAGTGCAATTCTTCTTTTGATTTCTTGGCTGCTGGTAGTAAGAGTGTTGACTGTGGAGCCAAGCAAGTTGTAACTTAACAACCTCAATCTTTACTATGGTGCTGCCCATTGGCCTAATGGTGAGAATCTTTGTCTTTTTGATGTTGAACTTTAATCCATATTGAAGACTATAGTCCTTAACCTTCTGCTGCAAGCACTTCAGGTCCTCCTCATATTCTATGCAAAGGCATTTGACAGTGTTGGTCACAACAAATTGTGGTTAGCCTTGAGGAGAATGGGAATCCTAGAACACTTGACTGTGCTTATGCAAAACCTATACTTAGGCCAGGAAGCAGTCCTCAGAACAGAGCAGGGAAACACTGCATAGTTCAAAATTAGGAAGGGAGAAGGGAGTGCATCAGGGATGCATCATGTCTTCATACCTTTTCAATCTATATGCAGAACAGATCATTCAGGAGGCTGGGCTTTATGAGGAGGAATGTGGCATCAAGATTGGAGGAAGACTCAGCAGCCTATGTTATGCAGATGACACAACCTTGCTTGCTGAAAGTGAGTTTATCTTTGGAACTCATTTAATCTCCCACAGTAAAGGGGACATGGACTTTCATGGTGCCTCCATCAGGCCTCCCTAACTCTTGCAGGGAGCATATAACAGGGAACAGGCTTTGAATTTTAGGAGGAATTAAAATTTCCTCTTCAGGAGGTGCTTGGGGAGTTTTAGCAGGCATTTTACCCTCCTGGTATGGATGTGAAATTACTGCTTGAGGAGGCTCTCCAGTGTCACTGCCTGATAATTCCACCACAGGTCTGGGAGGTGGAATTAACTTACTTGCTTTACAAAACTCAAGGTGTTCTCACAAAACCATAAATGCTTGTATGTAAGGGACCTGAGTCAATCTGCATCAGTGGCAAAATAAATCAAGCTTCAATATAGTGTTATAATTTAGGGAGCCATTAACTGGCCAGAACTCTGAATAATCTACATAGAAGCCATTCAACATTACAAAAATAGACCAATTTTTAAAAAAGAAATAGACCAACTTCTTCTTCAGGGTGTCCAGTCCTAGACTCAGATCACTCCAATTTTACCAAGGAACCTAGTGATGTGTCACCTGGCATTGAAAGCTGCTATTCCAGAATTATTCTGGAAAACAAACAATTTCTAGAAAGGCTTAGGCCCAAGCCCTGACATCTCAGTGACTGTCTTCTCCTGTGGGCTGTTGTCAACCCTGTGGCTGTCCCTTGGAAGCATCCCTCCACTACAATAACTATAGCCAACTCATCCTAGGAAAGGCTGCTTTGTTTTCTAGTGCTTCAGAAAGTCTTCCTTTCTGGATTTTGCAGACAGTTGATTAATGATAGTTCATGTCTATAAACACTTTCTCCTATAATCTTTGTTCCTTCCATCTACACTGGGAACTAAGTAGTATCTTTTCTCTTGTTTTGCTCCAAATTCCTAGGTCCCATCATCTATGCACCTATTAAAGATTAGTTCGTGTGTTTATCTCTGGCATTGTGGACTACCAGAGCTAAACAGGGTAAATGCAGTCCATCTTAAATTTCTCTCACTAATTTAGAGATCTTACTCCTTAGGAATCCCTCAGCTACAGCTTTTAATTTATTTAGGCACAGGGTAAATGCAGTCCATTTACTCTCACTAATTTAGAGATCTTACTCCTTAGGAATCCCTCAGCTGCAGTTTCTTTTTTTTTTTTTCTTTTAAAGAACATTTTTATTTTATACTGGTTTAATTACAAAGCTCGTATACATTGGTTTGTTTTATTTTTCTATAATTATATTTTATTAATTTTCATAAACATTTACAGAGATTTTGGGCTTCCACTCATTCATTGTTGCACGATTCTCTCTACCCTCCTCCCAGTTTGTTCTTGTCCAAATGCCACAGTGCTTGTCAAAGCCAGTTCTGATTAATCTTCTTTGTCAGTGTATCCTTTGCCATTCCCTATCACTCCTCCCTGAGAGAGACTTCACCCTGAGTCATAAGGAAAAGGGCACGGCGTATTCTCTTAGCTACTTCCTGCTGAAAAGGGACGCTGTGGGTTTCAGGGTGAAGATCTTCTTTCTCTCACTACTCTAAAGGGCCCCTTTGGCAGTAGGAAACACATAGACTATTATGGAGATTGATTTTGGAATTCAGATGCACTCTTATTGATTGTGCTTGGCTGTACATGTACATATCCTTGAAGATGTATCATGGGGGTGTTGCAACCTAGAAGACACAAATTTGACTAACAAGTTATAAGTACATGAGTCTAAAAATTATGGAAAAGTAAAAGAAAAGATTCTTTCATTGTTTTACAAACCCTCCCCCAGGTCCCCTCCACCATGCCGCCCTCGCTCTAGTCTCCTTTGATGACAGAAATACCCAGTTACATCTCTCTTTTAAATGGTTCTCTCCCTCCTCTGTTTCAGTTCAGCTGCAGCTTCTAATTTATTTAGGCATCGATCCTTATTCTATTAGCACGAGGACTAGGCTTAAATATATTGATTACTCCCTTCATCCTTTAAAGTAAGAATTTTCCCTTATCTTAACTCCATCCCTATACCCTGTCTCTCTTCCTCTTCTCCCAGGAACTTTAAAATCCATAAGCCTCAAACTATTGCAAAGTTAAGCTTGGGGTGATAAAGGAAAATAAAACAAGACTGGAAATTATCCCCACCCACACCTAGATGAAAATCTAGAGCAGGTAAGAGATAAAAGTTTGATAACATTTCCTGTCTTGTTTGGGTTAAGACATATGCCTCCCTTTGAGCTGCCACACGCTGCCTACCAGCCACTACTGTCAATACAGCCCTCACCCCATTACTGCAGGGGCTGCTATCTCAGGGTGGGATGGGGGGGCAGAGGGGATGTCAGAGGTCAGTACTGACCCTTTCTAACTACCAAAAGCCCTGACTCATTCCCACATCAACCAGCCATTGACAAAATGAACCTTAAAAATGTCAGACAAAACTTGCTACTCCAGCAAATCTTACCTAGCTCCATCACAATGACCAGCAGCAGTAACAAATAAAAATTTACTTACAGCCACCCAAAGGTAATAAAGGAGGTCAGAATTGCTTCCACTGTGGAAAGCTAGGCCACTTCAGTAGACAGTGTCACAGACAAGAGCCACAGATAGTCAAGGGAGTAGAGAGGAAGCTCCCACTTACTTGCTTTACGTGTGGCTCTGAAGAGGACACTTGGCCAAGGTGGCCCACATCAGGTCCTCATGGCAGACAGGACTTACAGGCCCCAGCTCCCAGCTGGAAACAAAGGAGGACGCTTCAACGATTCAGATCCTCCCAGAAGAGCCATGGATGAGCATTAACATACTGGTAAGTGTATTCATTTTCTCCTGGACACAGAGCCTACTAATTGGTCCTAAAAGCCTTCTCAGGTCCCAACTCTTCTCACTATCTCTTAGTTGTTGGAATGGACGGAAAACCTCATAAGCAGTTCCTTACTTCACCTCTACCTTGCATGTGAACTTCCGAGTTGT